CCCTACTGATTTGTCATATACCATCTTTATCAAATATAAAAATTTTACATATATATTCTAGACTTTTTGAGCTCTGTTTAGTTGTCTCAACTCCTCTTTCATATGCTTGCTGTATCTTTTCCCCCTCAAGTTTCTAGTTACAAATAAATAATCATAGTCCATCAAAACACCCCAAAATAACTTCATATTTTCTCATTCTTTCTTTTTTTATATTTTGGCGTCCTATTGATTAGCTACTTATCTAAAAGAGTTCATTTTTATCAAATACATGTACATGTATTTGAAAATTTTTAGAAACAGGAAAGCATTTTCACCTTTTTTAAAGGAAAGAAACTAGGACTACTTTTCTTTCTTGCTGTTCATACAGTGATATATTGAATATCTTTGATGATTTAAATAATTAATTAATTCAACAAACACTATGTGCCAGCCATTTTCCTAGGCACTAGGTATACAGGACAAAAACAGACAAAAATCCCCACCTTCATGAAGCTTACATTCTGGTGGGGGAGACAGATAAAAACAGGACACGTAAATTTTTAAATGTAATGTATCAGACAGTGATTAGTGCTATGGAGAAAAATAAACCAAGAAAGAGGGACAGGAAATTCTGAACAGGTGACTAGAGATGACCTCAATAAGAAGGTCATATGAGTCAAGACCTAAAGAAAGTAAAGAAGCCTTTACTTTTCTTCTATAACTTGACACAAATGGGTTACTTACATTGAAATACCCAGTGTATCTTTAGATATATTTTAAGTATACCTTTTTAAAAAAATTTATTTTTGGCTGTGTTGGGTCTTCATTGCTGCACGCAGGCTTCTCATTTTAGTGGCTTCTCTTGTTGCGGAGCAAGGGCTCTAGGTGCATGGGCTTCGGTAGTTGTGGCTCATGGGCTTAGTTGTTCCACGGCATGTGGGATCATCCCAGACCAGGGCTTGAACCCGTGTCCCCTGCATTGGCAGGCGGATTCTAAACCACTGCACCACCAGGGAAGCTCTTAAGTATATCTTAAATCAACTACATTAGTCATTCATTGCTTTTCTACTATGATGAGTGAAATGTTAATCTTGATATATCAAAAAGGAATCATGGGGCTTCCCTGGTGGCGCAGTGGTTGAGAGTCTGCCTGCCGATGCAGGAGACACGGGTTCGTGCCCCGGTCCGGGAAGATCCCACATGTCGCAGAGCGACTAGGCCCGTGAGCCATGGCCGCTGAGCCTGCGCGTCCAGAGCCTGTGCTCTGCAATGGGAGAGGCCACAACAGTGAGAGGCCCGCGTACCGCAAAAAAAAAAAAAAAAAAAAAAAAAAGGAACCATGGCATATTTTAAACATCAAATTCATCATGAGTTAATTGTCTACCAACATACTTACAGGAGTGAAGCAGCCTGTTGGAAAACTTTGCACTGTAGAACGAAATACAAAGCTCCTATATTAAAAAAACAAGAAAAGATATGATCTTCTAAATCTTTTTTTTTTTTAATGTGAGGATCTTTAACATATTCCCTGTCTCTCATTAAATATTTAAAAATGCTAATATGGGGACTTCCCTGGTGGCCAGTGGATAGGACTCTGTGCTCCCAGTGCAGGGGGCCCGGGTTCGATCCCTGGTCAGGGAACTAGAACCCACATGCACGCCACAACTAAGAGTTCGCATACCACAACAAGGAGCCCACGTGTTACAACTAAGGAGCCCGCCAGTCACAACTAAGGAGCCCACCTGCCACAACTAAGGAGCCCACCTGCCACAACTAAGGAGCCCATGTGCTGCAACTGAGGAGCCGCAACTAAGACCCAGCGCAACCAAATAAATAAATAATAAATATTTTTTAAAATGCTAATCTAATATGATGGGCATAAATGAGGTTTAAAAGTCATTAGTATTGGGACTTCCCTGGTGGTGCAGTGGTTAAGAATCCATCTGCCAGTGCAGGGGACACAGGTTAGACTCCTGGTCCTGGAATATCACACATGCCGCAGAGCAACTAAGCCTGAGCACCACAACTATTGAAGCCCGTGTACCCTAGAGCCCACGCACCACAACTACTGAGCCCATGCACCTAGAGCCCGAGCTCCACAAGAGAAGTCACAGCAATGAGAAGCCCGTGCAGAGCAACGAAGACCCAACGCAGCCAAAAAAAAAAAAAAAAGTCATTAGTGTTGGTGGTTAAGCATGTAAATAGAAAGGCATGAGTGAAATTAGTAAAAGCAATTTAATAAGTATATAATTACCTGGAAGCATGCTTGGGAACTGGTGCGGGAAGTAGCTCGTATTGTCCTGGCGAAAGCTGAACTGACTACATAGAATGGACAAGGACACCAATAATAGATTAATACAGGTCTCAAACTCACTTTATTATCTATCATTCATAATCCTTTATTTTATTACCATACAACATTATATAATTTATTTTCTATTTTGAGAGTGGAAAAGGTACCCTTTCAAAGGTAGAGCTTCAAAACACTCAACAGATATTCACTTTTCATGGTGAATATTATGACAGTATGCCTACAGTGGTATGGAGAAAAATGCTGTACAATTAATCATATTTTAAATGTACTAGATTCAACAAATCCAACTGATCACCAACTAGTGAGCCTGCTCTGTTGGTAAAGAACTGTGCTAGGTATGGTGGGGAATACAGGAGTGTTCTCATAATACATAAACAATGCTAATATAAAACACTATAATCGACACTAAAAGAAAGATTGGAGCTGTCCGGAATAGGGAGAGATTAACCCAACTGGGTGACCAACAGCTAACATCACATACTCAATGGTGAAAAGCTAAAAGCTTTTCCTCTAAGGTCAGGAACAGGACAAGGGTGCCTATGTCTCCATTCCTATTCAACATAGTACTGGAAGTCCTAGCCAGAGTAACTAGGCAAGAAGAAGAAATAAAAGGCAACCAAATTGGAAAGGAACAAGTAAAACTGTCCCTGTTTGCAAATGACATAATCTTATATATAAAAAACTCTAAAGACTCCACCAAAAAACTGTTTGAACTAATAAGGAAATTCAGTAAAGTTGCAGGATACAAAAACAACATACAAAAATCAGTTGAAAAAATAAATCAGTTGAGTTCCTATACACTAACAATGAAGTATCTGAAAAAGAAATTAAGAAAACAATCTCATTTACAATAAATAGCATCAAAACATAAAATATTTAGGAATAAATTTAACTAAGGAGATGGAAGATCTGTACACTGAAAACTATAAGACACTGATGAAAGAAACTGAAGAAGACACAAATAAATGGAAAGATATCCCATGTTTATGGATTAGAAGAACTAATATTGTTAAAATACCCATATTATCCAAAGCAATCTACAGATTCAGTGCAATCCCTATCAAAATCCCAGTAGCATTTTTTCAAAGATATAGAAGGAACAATCCTAAATTCAGTATGGAACCACGAACGGCCCCATATAGTCAAAGCAGTCTTGAGAAAGAAGAACAAAGCTGGAGGGATCATACTTCCTGATTTCAAACTATATTGCAGAGTTACAGTAATCAAAACAGTATGATACCAGAATAAAAACAGACATATAGACTAATGGAACAAAACAGAGCGCCCAGAAATAAATCCACACAGAAACAGTCAACTAATCTTTGAAAAGGCACCAAGAATACACAATAGGGAAAGGATAGTCCCTTCAATAAATGGTATTGGGGAGACTGGATATCCACATGCAAAAGAACAAAACTAAACCCTATCTTATGCACAAATACTAACTCAAAATGATTGAATACTTAAACATAACATATGAAATGATAAAACACCTAAAAGAAAACATATAGAAAAATCTCCTTGACATTGGTCTCGGCAATGATTTTTTTAGATATGACACCAAAAGTACAGGCAACAAAAGCAAAAATAAACAAGTGGGACTACATCAAAGTATAGCCAAGGAAACAATCAATAAAATGCAAAGGCAACCTAAGGAATGGGAGAAAATATTTGCAAACCATATATCTGATAAGGTGTTAATATCCAAAATATATAAGGAACTCATACAACTCAATAGCAAAAAGACAAGTAATCAAATTTAAAAATGCGCAAAAGACCTGAAGAGACATTTTTCCATAGAAGACATACAAATGACCAACAAGTACATGGAAAGGTGCTCAACATCACTAATCATCAGGGAAATGAAAATCAAAACCACAATGAGATATCACCTCACACCAGTTAGAATGGCCATTATCAAAAAGACAAGAAATAACTAGTGTTGGTGAGGATGTGGAGAAAAGGGAACCCTTGTGCACTTTGGTGGGAATATAAAATTGTATAGCTATTATGGAAAACAGTATGGAGGTTCCTCAAAAAATAAAAACAGAACTACCATATGATCTAGCAATCCCACTTCTGGGTATATATCTGAGGGAAACAAAACCAATATTTGGAAGAGATACCTGCAGTCCCACATTCACTGTAGCATTATTCACAATAACCGAGCTATGGAAATAACCTAGGCGCCCATCCATGGATGAATGGATAATGAAAATGTGATATATATTCCCTTAATGCATATACTATATTGGAATGTTGTTCAGCCATAAAAAAGAAGGAAAGCCTACCATTTGCAACAACATGGATGAACCCGGAGAACATTATGCCAAGTTGAATAAGCCAGAGAAAGACAAATGCCATTTTGTAACTCTTATATGTGCAATCTAAAAGGGTTGTACTCATAGAAACAGAGAGTAAAATGGTGGTTCCCAGATTGGCAGGTGGCGGAAATGGGGAGATGTTGGTCAAAAGGTACAAACTTTATTATATGATGAGTAAGTTCTGGAGATAGAATGTACAGCATGGTGACTACAGCTAATAATACCGTATCGTATACTTGAAAATTGCTAAGAGAGAAGATCTTATGTGCTTTATGGTTTTGTTTTCTTGTTTTTCTTTTAATTATTTGGCTGTGTCGCATGGCATGTGGGATGTTAGTTCCACAACCAGGGATCGAACCCGCACAGTAGAAGTGTGGAGTCTTAACCACTGGACTGCCAGGGAAATCCCCATTCTTATGTGCTCTTATCACACACACACACAAAATGGTAACTGTGTGAGGTGATGGATGTGCTAATTAACTTGATTGTGGTAATCATTTCACAATATGTGTGTGTGTGTGTGTGTATATATATATATATATATATATATATATATATATAAAACAAATCATCATGTTGTACACCTTAAATATATTCGATTTTATTTGTTAATTACACCTCAATAAAGCTGGGGGAAATAATTAAATAAATAAATCCAACTGGGGGATCTAAAGATGGTAAAGACAGTGAGATTTGAGTGGGGTTTTAAGGAAGGTAAGACTTCCCTGAGGGAGGCAAGAGAGGGACTCTAAGAAGGAGGAACACCGTAGAATCCTTCCATTTTGGGAAGGATTCTTCCCAGGATTCGGTAATATAACTCCTCCCTGCCAGCTCCTTGAACATAGGAAGTTCTGGAGGTCCAGTCAGTCTTCCCCTGGCTTCTCACTCTCTTTCCTTCCCTCCCTCCCTTCCTTCACACATCCCACTCTCTGTGCTTACCAGTTCCTGACACTCCCTTATTTCCCTTACCTCAGGGCTAATATCCACAGACCCAAGGAGAGTGGAGCCACCCAGGCAGTTTGCAATGTTTCACAATGGGCAGAGAGACAGTCTCTTCTACGGTGGATTTTTCAGTCCATTAGAAATCCTATCAGGATACTCATAAGATGAATGCAGCCAAAAGACTGTCAGGTACAATATTTTTAGGTACTACTGGTGGAAATTTCATCCAGTGTGTCTTCTTCTCTGAGAAATGGTCTCTTGCTTCACGTGGAAGTATCAGTGACTCACCACCCAGACATCTTTATGGACTGAGAAATAGACAGCACTGGACTTTCTCAAAAAGATGCCTGCCTAATGGTACCAATGATGTTGTTCTTACCAGCACCCTGTAATTTTCATCAGCTCCAGAAACTATGTGAGTCCCAGTCCCTGAGATGTCTTCTGTATCCGTCTTTCAGATTCACTTTCATTTACCATTCTCTCCACAAATTTACTTGTGACAATCACTGCTCTGCCTTGCAGTTGCTCTATGAGAGTTCATCCTCAAATAATACCTGCTAAATGAGCCAACTTTGAGCACCATTTTTTTTTCTTTTTTTTGAGGTACAGGGGCCTCTCACTGTTGTGGCCTCTCAGTTGCGGAGCACAGGCTCCGGACGCACAGGCTCAACGGCCATGGCTCACAGGCCCAGCCGCTCCGCGGCATGTGGGATCCTCCCGGACCCGGGCACGAACCCATGTCCCCTGCATCGGCAGGAGGACTCTCAACCACTGAGCCACCAGGGAAGCCCATGAGCACCATTTTTTTTTTCCTTTAATTGCATGATGAATTGTTCCATCTTATCTATGCTTTGCTCTTCATTATTCTAACACTTAAGTCTTCGGTTCCCTGAAGTATTACCTGCCAGCCCCCTCCTAGGCACAAAATTTCTCTCTGCTGACACCTTGCTCAATGAAAAACCATCCTGTTGAAAATTCATTCTTTCAGCCATTATTTTACCATGGAGCACTTTGCAAAGAAACATGTCTTCAGAGATACTTGATCACAGCTATGAACACAGCTAACAAAAACCAATGAACCGGTTAGATTTTCTCAACCATCATCTCCCAATCAGCTGTTCAAGGACATCTTTTGAACACACTGAAATGGATCCTTGGATTCATTCTCTGAGTTAAGAGAGGTGCCATTCCATCCTGCCTACCTCCTTTTGACCTAAAACAGATATTGGGAGGTGGGGAGGGGGTGGGCAGAATCACCACATTTGTTTCTTTTCACATAAGTTTCATCTTCTAAGACAATGCTGAAGCTAACCTAGACAGAAGTTTGAGGCAATTTTGAATTTTGTTTAATTGTGCTTTTCACTGAAATGTCTCTAGCCTAGGAAGTGAATAAGTTTTAAAATGGAAAATGAAAAGAAATAAGAGCAAAAATATTAGCTGGAAAAAATTTTGATTTCTACAAATGAACATGAATGAAAAGACTATTACTTGCACACTGAAAACAAGTCAAATCTATAGAAAGAAAAAAAATTAAAGGTAAGTCTCTTTGCCCCCTGCCTAACCTCTGCTTCCTAAATGGAAACCACTGTTAATGATTGCTTAAGTATCGCCCAAGAAAACAAGTATGCATTTAACATCGTATATATATTTGTTTTTATTTTTACAAATGGGATTATGCTATAAATATTGGTCTGTTCCTTGAGTTTTTTCATTTAATAATATATCTTGGAGGTGCTTCC